TCTTAAAACAACTCTGAAGTCCATCTATTATTTTTCATTGGGTTTTGGGTTTACATCTATTATAAAGCTAGCCCAGATTAAAAAAGGGCCATTATTAGAATTAAAAAAAATTATATTCCTAAAGATTAAACAATATTTTGTAGATAATCCTATTAAACTTGGCGGCCCCAACATTATCGTACAAATTGACGAGACGAAATTAAATTTTAATGTAAAAAATCATCGTGGTCGAAACATACCTGCGTGCTGGGCTTTAGTAATTGTTGATAATTTTTTTGTTCCAGCTTTGCGTTATTCTGTTATTTTTGAAAATCGTTCTGCAGAAGTATTACTATATATAATAAATCAGATTGTAATTCCTAGGAGTGTTATAGTAACAGATGAATGGAAGTCTTATTCATCACTAAGTGAATTAAATATATATCAGCATCAAACAGTTTGTCATAAATATTGCTTTGTTGATCGTAATACTGGCACACATACTCAAAATGTAAAGTCTTATAACAATAAACTAAAATTGGCAATCAAAAAAACGAAGGGTTTAAATTTAGAACAAAGAAAAGTATTTCTACAAGAGTTCTTGTATAGGGAGCACCACTCGAATGATAAATTTACATCTTTAATTAAATTATTTGAGTTTTAATTTTTTTTCTTTTTGCAAGGCGTCTAATGGACCTGATCCCAAAAGTTTTTAAATTTCCCTCTAAAAACATTTTGGATAGTATTGATAAAAAATATGAATGTATAGTGAGTTTTTCCCATAAGACATAACCATTTTTTTAATAAAGCCTTATTAGGCTTATATTGTGCACTTTTTTATTAAATTTTTCATATCAATACCGTTCATATTCTATTTCCTTTTAGAATAAATTACTTCTTATTTAGGGTATGGGCAAGAAAGGAGAGAATCAGCCCTTTGAAAATAAAATGGTGGAGAATAAACAAACAAAGCCAGTAGAAAAAATTATAAAAATGAAAGTTTGATGATTGAATGTAAAAGGTTAGAAAGTAATACTTTTTTTATATAAAAAAGGGATGACGATTAACTTGAAGATCTAACTATAAGAGCTAACTACGATATAGTAGATTGGCACCATGAGATGATGGACTTAATTGGAAATGTATCATAAAATACGAAAAATGTAAGGTGTTAGCTAAAATTAAAGTTGTTAAGAAAAAATTTTCGGTAGGTAAACAATATCGTATGAAACAACAAAAAGGAAATGATGTACCAACCTTTATAGAAAGTGTATCAGTTGTTGCCAGAGAGTATAAATTGCCCAAGATAGAAATTATTGACATTATTTCTGCTTGTTTAAAAGAAGAAATGGGAGATGTTAAAAGATTTACATTTGCAAACAATAGTTTTACTGAAGAGAGTATCATTACAATTAAGAAATTAGAAAAAGAATATATTGCTGAATTAAATCGAATAAAAATAAAATTAATTTTTTGGTACGCCAAAGAAAAGCCCAACAGAGCAAGTAAAAACACCAACACATCCAATAATATGAGACACACTCTAGCATACCATTATGGCCTTGCTTGTAGGGAGAAAATGGATCCCTTAGGATTTAAAATCCAACAGTCATAAAGACCGTGATCTGCGCTGAGCAGGGTTCTAGGGATAACACGCCTGACTCAATCGTCAGTTTAAGGATCTGACCTGATCCAACGCAAATGCTACGGCGTCAGCAGCTTGCCAAACCCTCCCCAGGTTGTGTGTTTTTTGAAGATTCCCCGAAGGGTAACGGCCT